CAAGTCATCTGTGATCCTGCAAAGGGTGGTTGAAAATTCGGTGGCCCTCAAAGACCGATCTGGAGCAATGCTGGCCGGAGCCGAAGCCAGGTGGCGCAACTCTGTGACCTAGCTTAGTGGGGGCATGAGGCCTGGTAGAGAGCTCTGGGGGGCTGTTTGCGGGGGCAACCTCAGTGGTCATCGGGGGTCATAACTGGAGCAATGTTGGTCGGTGCTGGAGCAAGGTGGTGCAACTCTGTAACCTAACCTGATGGGAGCACGAGGCCTGGAAGAGCTTCAGTTCGTGCTGAAAACAGCCATGTTGGTGGTGATCGTAGGTGGATTGAATAGGTTCCACCTATCTGATTCGTGGTTGGGAGGCTTTCTGACACACATATTCTAGTGACTAGGTAGAGTCTGAATAGTGGAAAATAGTTCGGTGGTTCTTATGAATGTCTTAGGACTCTAGGGACTCTTAGCAACCCATCTTAGGCAATTTTGAAGCTGTCATACTCAGTGATCTGCGGCTGTTCGATGCCAGAACGACGCTGGCCGGTGCTGGGGTGTTGCCCTGTAACCTGCTGATGCAGGAGCGCGAGGCCTGGTAGAGAGATCTGGGGATGCTTTGGGGTGGGCATTCTAAGGGACAGCCAAGGTTTGCTGCCGGGACGACGCTGGTCGGAGCTGGGGCGAGTTGTGTCACCCTGTAACCCAGCAGGGTGGGGGCGTGAGGCCTGGAAGAGCTTAGCAGKGAGTAAGACTGTGTTGGAAAGTCTTAGAAGGGTTTGTTAGGGATCCTGAGGGTTCTGAGCACTCGTAGGACCTCTGTGGCAGCCTATTGCATGAGTAGTTCCTTAATAGGTCATTAGATAGTCATGATCCTCCCCATGCTATCATATCGTGTTCACAGACTGTTCTCAGCCGAAGCCGCGTAATGGCCCCGGTATCTCAAATGATCTCAAATGCTCTTCAAAAAAAAAAAAAAAGGATCGATGGTGGAAGCCTTCAAGGAAGATCCTGTCACAACGGACATCATACGCAAACTTGAGGCCCAAGACAAGGCTACATCTGATGAGTTCGTGATGGTGGATGGGTTACTCTTCCTTAAGGCAGGGTTTAAAAGATCCCGCTAGTGAGATTTTGTGTAGTTTATTTTTAGGAGAACGTTCAAACTTGTCAAGTCTGTCAGCGGGACAAGCCGCGGACTCCAGCTCTGCTTGGGTTACTCAAGCCCCTACCCATTCCTGCTCGTCTGGGACAGAGTGCTTCCATGGATTTCATGGATACCCTTGTGACCAGCAAAAGTGGCAAGAGGCATTTCTTCGTCATAGTTGATAGGTTTACCAAGTTCACTATCTGATTGCCATGCTAGAGACCGCAAGGACTGAGCACGTCATCAAACTCCAGACAACTTCTGGGTATCATCCAGAACACAACGGGCAAGCTGAACAGATGAACCGAGTGGTGCAGCATCTGCTGAAGCATTACATAAAGCCCAGCCAAGATGACTGGGATGTGAAGTTACCTCTCATCGCCAGCCTGTACAATAATGATGTGCACAGCACCACTGGCGTCAGTCCGAATCAGTTGCACCTGGGGTGGAAGCCTAGATCTGCTCTAGACTTCCTCCTGCCTGAAAACCAATCTGCTGCAACTCTTGGAACCATTGAATTTGGTGTCCAGTATGAGAAGTTGCTGCAGCAAGCTGTCGAACACATGAAGAAATATCAAGAAGCAATGATTGCTTCTGAGAACAAACATCGACGATAGTCTACATTTCAGGTAGGGGAACGTGTCTGGGTTAAGTCCAGTGAGCTAGGACAGGAATTCGGCATCTCTAGGAAACATGCAGGGGGCCCTAGGCAACATGCATATGATCTGGAATATGGCCCCCAGCAAGCCTCGTGCCCACCCTAAGTGAAGGCGGGCCTGATTATCCACGTGAGGCCCTTATCTCAGCATTTTCCAATGCGGGTCTCCAACAGTTGCTGCACAACGGTTGCTTGAAGTAAACCTACACCTCACCCTGGGCTATTCCAGAAGAAGCAGCTGCGCCAGGCAGTTCAGCCCAGGGCGCAGGTGGTTGCACCCTGGGCGCACGCAAGGGTGAGGCCGACACATCACGAAGTGGCCACGGGCCAACGGAAAAGCAACATTGTCGTCATATCTGGCTCGTGGGCCAGTGCAAATGCAGCAAACATTCGGCGCCTGGAAAATTTTGAGTGTGCCCAACTGAAAAGGGCCCAGACACCCAACTGTCTAGATGGGCCTGGGCGCAGAAACTGGGGCCCAACCGGAAGCTACTGGAAACTTCCACTGCCAGGCCCAGACAGTCCAGCAGCAGCAAACCTCTCCCATATAGGCAGGAGTCTGGCCAGAATACTGCCAGGGCCAGACAGTCCAGCGTCAGCAAACCTCTCCCATATAGGCAGGAGTCTGGCCAGTGTTGGCCATTCTGGCCAAGGCAGGCGATGCAGACATGCTGCTGCGCTACGCTCACAAGCGTGTGTCTGCATGCGCATCTGCTGGCTGGGGCGCACGTGGGCGCTGAGAGGTGAGGGGCGTTGCTGGGCAGCGGGGCGCTAGCAGCCATAGCCGGGCTGCAGGGCGCATAGGCAGAGGAGGGTGACAGGGGGTCTTCGGGAGGAGGGGCAGCAGTGGGTGGTCAGGGGATGATGAGGGGAGACGAGAGTACGTACCTGATGTATGTGGGAGGTCCGCACGGGTGTTGACGACAAGTACTGTTGCATGAACATTGGTAGGCTACATAGGACAGGTAGAGTAGGCTGGGCGCTGGGTGCCATACAGAGAGGAGCGACATTGAATACTGCTTTGGTGTGGCCTGAGGGCTTAAACATTGGCTCACGAGCTCATTGTATTGCTGTTTGATGAAATCTTGGTGCATTTGAGCTCTCTGCTTGTTTCATGACTATCTGGACTTCTGCGTGACTTCGCAACTTGGTTTTCTGTACATCGCTCTCGCTCATATTCCTTGCAGTAAACCCAAGAACACACCCCAAATTAGAGCACACTGACACCGAAGTCGCTTGACAAAGAAAGCCCAACTTTTTGCAACCTCTCATCAATACAACAATAATGCAGTTCCCCAACGATGTAACTGCCCATACTACCTTCCTACTTCCTCACTAGCCCAGCCTACTCTCTCTCTGCTCTCTCTCTGCTCTCTCTCTGTGCCCTCTGTCCTCTTGCCCAACAACACCGCAGAGTGTGCCTACCCAAAGTGTGCTCATCAGTCGTCGCCACGTGAGACTTCCTGTCCCCGCCAACAGCGCCGCAGAGTGCGCCTACCCGAAGTGTGCTCATCAGTCATCGCCACGTAAGACTGCCTGTCCCTGCCACTGTCCTTGTCCCCTGGTCACCCAAGCACCAACGCCCCTTCTCCCTTGGTGCAGCTACGACTGCCACCAAGCAGGAGCAGTTGACCATGGTTTCTTCTCCCTCCTTCTTCAGGCCTGGCAGCACGTGCTTGCTCAAAGCTGTCGCTGGCAGCCAGTGCCTCCAAAAGTGTGGAATACTGCGGCCTCAGTTCCTTTTGTTTCATTCTGGAGGTTGCATCAGCCAGGCTGGTACCGGGCGCAGTCCAGTCTGGGTCTATGCTTCCAGAGTGGGTACCCAGGCCTCAGCCTCTTCAGCTAACTGGGAGGAGGCTGGACCTACCTGTTAGTTGGAGAGGCTGCACCCAGCATCACTACCTCACTGCCTCCCCAGAGGGCTGGCTGGCATTTTCCTGCCCCCTCACTTATAGTCAGCATTCATTTTTGAAGCAGCCGTTGGAGAGGCTGCACCCAGCATCACTACTTCACTGCCTCCCCAGAGGCCTGGCGGGCATTGCCCAACCCTCAGTTAGGGTCGGGTTTCATTTTTGCAGCAGGCGGTGCAGGACACTGCAGAGGCCCGAAACCTCACATTCCACCCCCTTAGGTTCAACGTCCTCTACAACCCCAATACATGTTATTTTCCTTTCAGAGCACTCTCATAATGTAGGACAACTTGAGGCTCAGTCTTGATTAGTTATTCCGTTGTGTATCAATGATCTTCTTTAGGATCCAAATGAGGAGACAAATGTGGTATCAAAACTTTGAAGGGGGACATGTTGCTGCAGTAGCCATCAGTTGTCATCGAGAATAAGAAGCCAGCAACATTATCCGGCCATTCCCGATGGAAAGCCGTGGGAGCTAATTGGAATCAGGGTATGTCCTGGAAAAGTCGGCAAGGCAGTCGTGATGCTCATTCATCTCTTCATATTGGAGGCACTGGGGAGGAGGAAAGGCTGTCATGACCACATCCAGAAGCAAAAGTGTTGGCACACTATGGGTGGCCATCGAGCCTGGCTGCTGCCGGCCCCGTACTGGAGAAAACGTGATCAAGCAGGCGTTGGGCAGCCCGTGGAAGTCGCCATCCCTGGCTGGGTAACGCAAATGCAAACCAGGGTCCAGCTCAGTATGGCCAAGAAACAAAATTTCCCAATGGCATGTGGCCTTGATTCAGGAACGGGCACAGGGGTTTACCACACCTTCCTCCAGTTTACTTTTCCCCTGATCTTCAGGATGCACAGCACGCAATAAAAATTGGGAGAGTGACTGTCCTCTCACACAAACAGTAGTCCTCATACGAACATCTCTCAAATCCAAACCACTCTTCACACAAACAGTCCTCATACGAACATCTCTCAAATCCAAACCACTCTACGCAACTGTCAAGCTGTGGCATTCAGTAGTACATATGTATCAGAAGGACATCAAAAGTTTAGTATGTGAATCTTGGATGCACAGGCACCACATGTACATGGATGTTGTGCGCCACCAGCATGACATATTGTAATAATTTGGAGTGTGGATGTTCTCACTCTGAAAACATCTCTCGACTCCTTTATGCCAGTTTCAAGCTGGACGGACATGTGGACACTCTGTGGTTGATTATTGATGGTGTCATGCGCAAGTGTCCCCTGTGTCATTTCACCAGAAATCAAGAATCACCAATGACTGCAGACTACCACTTACCATCATCGACATGATGAATATTACAGTTCCTGCTCTTATGTTGTAATGACGTGAGCACTTGCACAGGCAGACACTGGTCTCAAGAACGGCAGCCAGATTACAACCCAAAGAGAATACAAAAACACAGAGGGAACCTGCAGGACCGACAAAAACAACAACAACAAAATCTCATCAGCGCTCATAGAAAGGGGTGCTCAGAAGTGAAGTTGAGACGTTGACAAGTTGCAACTTGGCCCGGGGACAGACGTTGACTCAAGACATTCATGATGAAACTTGGCCCAAGGACATGTTTTTATGGGGCCCTATCAAAAAAGAAATGGGGGTGAGAGACGTAGTCATGGCAGGTCAAGGTGTGGCTAAAGGGTGACGAAATGTGTGGTGGATATCACAAGGAGATAGGCATAAGAATAGTCAGACCAACAGGTCAAGATATGATAATCTGCAGGCCACAAAACCACGCAAGTTTCCAGAGCACCTGGACCAGGCACTACTCTCGTTCCCTTGCTTGGGGAAAAAGAGTATCACTCGCAACCTCCACAGGTAGGGTTTGAACATACAACCAATTGATTAAGACATGTCATAACCTTCATAACATTCAAACACATGAGAACAGATCAGGGGATGCAGACAAGCGAATGAGATGCCACAGAAATGACTCGAAGATTCTTTATCAATTTTAGCATGGCCTCAAAAAGTATGGGTAGCTGAGAATTCTCCTAATTTATGTCCTACCATTTGGTAGGGTTTGAACTGACAACCAATTGTTAGGGTTTGAACTTGCAACCAATTGGCTAAGACGTGTCATAACCTTCACAACATTCAAACACATGAGAACAGATCAGGGAATGCAGACAAGCGAATGAGATGCCACAGAAATGACTCGAAGATTTTTTATCATTTTTAGCATGGCCTCAAAAAGTACAGGTAGCTGAGCATTCTCCTAATTTATGTCCTACCATTTGGTCAGTAATAAAATTATGTATGGAATCGAGTTTTCAGCCCTGTTTCAACCACCACCATGTTATCTTGTATTTGTTCCACTGAACATTGTAAAACACTCCCACGTAGATGTGTAATTGTATCTCCAATCATCCTAGCAATTATTGTAGATCCTCTAGACCATGTCAGAATTACTTTTTTTTGTGCTGCTAAATTAAGAATATGAGTTCTTTCAATTCACATTCCCACCCTGCGACCAACCCTATGCATACAATGGAGCACTCCTTGCGTAGTTCAAAAGCGGCAGCTCGTACGGTTCCAAACACATGGTGTATGTTTCCGAACCCAAATGCTATAATTTAAAGTTCACACCACAATCTAGTCTTCAACAGTCTGTTAACATTCACTCGTAAGTACCACATCCTGGAAAACAAAGATATGTACACAAACTGCCATACACACAATGTCTCCGAAACTGATCATACACCCACTTTACATCCACATTTTAATTTTGAACATGCACTCAATGTACGCCCAATTCAGATATCTTTTCATTGAACAGGGGATAACCATGCTAAATGGCACACACACACACAACATGCGCACATGCAACTGCACAAACATCACTTCCATGCAACGCAAGTGGTCAAGAAATTCAGAAAAAGGAAGAAACATAAGCAACTCTGGTTTGAAGTCTACTTCTGCCAGATTTTACTGGGATGATATCCCCAACTATGACTTGGTAAATAACTGCTATGCAATGAACCCAATCGGTAAGCTCATTAATGCCGAAACACAGAATGTCTCAGCGCAGTTTCACTGTCTCCAAAATCGTACATGTAAATCAGGTCGCCCAATGTCTAGTCACCAGAGAAGAGGATGGTGGGAAGGAGATAAGACTTAGAAGGTGGAATAGAAAGTACCCATCAACATAGCACATGCCTCACAATCCCGCTTCTTCTTCGGGCATCTCCCACTTGCCCCGTCAGCAGACAGTTCCCTCTGACACAGACTGACAATGAGCAGATCTCATCATGGCGCTTATCAGCGCAGACACCTTCTGAAGACGAATCAGCAATGTGCAATGTCAACCACGAACGCAAACACGTAAGCTTCCTCCACATTCGACCAATCTCACAGTCCTGATCCTCATCCTCCTAGCTGATACATCATCAATGTCATAATAAGAGTGGCAAGAGCCACGTCAGCATAATCGAGTGTCCAGCTGGCGCCGAGGATAAAAGGCGCCAACATAACGCATAGCAGTCCTGCATCGTCGCATCAACGTCAAGCCAGCGTGTGCAGCTACGGTGCCCCAGATTGACCGTCCGTCAATGGCCTGGATCTCATACAGTTGCAGATTCCCACTTGGTCGTGATTCCTTTCGAATACCTGCAAACAACCAAAGATGTGTCTGATCTGTGGCCAAGGCTGGGTGCATATGGACTCGGACCTGAATTCACGAGCTGAGGTCAACTGTTGACTTTCCAAACAACTGTCCCACGTTATACCTCGGGAGGCCGTTTCTGGCCTTGCCTGCAGTACCCCACAGTGGTAGGTTCGGGCAGGCTTTCTCATGACTTGTGCGTGAACTTTGAACCCCATTCCAGGCCCCTTTGACCAAAGGTTATGACCCACAGCCGCGGCGGGTGCATATATGAGCCGAGTTATTGCATCTACAAAGATCAAAAACCCTTCTTCCTCTCCTGCATGACAGTGCGCTACAAAGGTGCACATAAAATATGGTTTAGGTTATGAATCCTGGGAGATCCCGTTAGTCTTGAAATAGGACAATTCGGAGGAGCATGTGACAGGTCTGGGACATCAAATTACACCTAGAAAACGGTCGTTAGGCTCTGAAGCTCTGCAAACCCATAGAGAGCATAAACATCAAGAAAACACTTGAGCCACAGGTACTCGTCCAGAAGAAAGACTCGTGATTGAAGGGAGAAGAGGGAATGGGTGAAAAAGGAGCACGGAAGGGAAAGAGAGGAAATGAAAGAGGGTGGAGAGGGAAAAGAGGGAGGAGAGGGAGGGGAGAGAGGGGAGGAGAGGAGAGGGAGGAGAGGGGAGGGAGGGACAAAGAGAGAGAGGAGCAGAGAGGTGGAGAGAAGACAGGAGAGGAGGCCAAGACAGCACATGGTTGAAGCAAGGGGATAAGAGCAGAGTGCGGGGACAATGATTATGCCCTGAAATATCTTCTCGTATCACAGGAAGTGTTTTCATGCAGCTTCGGGATAATTAAGAATATCAGAACCGAGGACAGCTGTACGCGAAGGATACTGACCGCCTCTGAGCCATGGCTTCTATCTTCCCTCTGAAACATGACAAGTGAGGAAAACACAGGAGCATTCTCTGCACCTCAAAAGCTTGGGAGCTCTGATTGCCAGCCGCACGATCTTTGAGAAGAAGGAGAACCATGGTACCGCTGACGCATGACTAAGACTGGCCCATCATTGACAAGATCAGCCACTCTGCACACCGCCACAGCTGAAGCCAACTTGATAGCTAAGAACCAGGATTCAGTCTACTTCAGACCCAAAGGCAATACACATGTTGCCAATGCACAGCGCAAGAAACTGCCCAGCCACACTGACAATGAACACCCTTTCTGTCCTGCACAATGAGTAACATGGGCCCCCCCCCCCCCCCCCCGCCCCCCCAACCCCCACATACACACAGATTGACAAGACACTGACACAGTTCACACAATGCTTCACACACAGGCACGCACCCACAGTCGTTTTTTTTTGTGGAGTTATGATCGAACATGACAAAACACACCACACACAAAACAAAGACAAACACGAGCAAAAAGAGACAAAAACGTGAGTGCTTGTGGACTACCATATAACAAACATAATCAAGAGAAACTAGGTGAGCTGTTGGAACTTCGCTTACCAAAAATAAGATGGATGAAGAATTGGTCCTGGTAGGAACTCAATGATGTAGTCTCTCTCTCTCTCTATCTATCTATCTATCTATCTCACCGCACCAGCGGGAGGTGGCAGCACCTCGGGGCGTAGTTGAGAGGAACAGCACACCACCCGAAACACATACATCGAGCAACTCTACCGGCTTAGTTCTGGCTGGTGGCATACGTGCTGGAGCCAACGGAAATGACGGCCAATACAACCTCCCCTACGTCTATTGTCATGACCTGCAAAATCACAGTTTGAGAACTCTTCTCGTTTCAGAGTTTTGCTGCTGAACTGAGTGACTTGATGAGGTTCTCGTACTCTGCTGAGATAGCTAAGTGCATGTGCCCGCATGATTGTTGAATTTCTGTGTGTTTGTCTGACTGCATGATAGCTTGGGTGCATTTCTGACCGGCGAGGGGCTGGTACCTGCTTGCAGCCGTGCTCTGTGGGGTTGCAGCAGGAACTTGAGAAGACTAGGCCCGCATAGGACGGAAAACACTCACCTTGTGGGAAGGTCGGCAAATAAAGACAAAAAGTCAGTACTTATAGAGGCCGATGGAGTTCTAGAGGCTGGTAGGCTTAGGGTCTAGGGGTACCGGGCCAGTAGTCTGAGTCTAGGGTGAGGGATATCAGACTGCAATAATGATGTTTCCCTCCAAAACAAGGACCGTACCAGTAGCTCTGGAGGCCGCACGGCCTGGAAAGTTACCACCCAAAGAGGCAGTCAGCCGGTATATTTAGGTCGGTATGTCTTCCGGAAGAGCGAAGAACAGCTCCTCCTCATATTGCACTGAAGTTTGGCAACCGGCTGCTGGAGTGGGCGCTCAGCTGGGAGGAGCACTAGGGAGGAAGAACACGGCGGCCTTGGCCTCCCACCTCGGCTATGGTGGGAAGGACCAAGGAGGAGCCTAGTGGGAGGTACGAGGAGGCAGCGGAAGACATCGGCCAAGAGGGACGATGACAGGAAGCTTACCCGGCTATGGAGGTCTGCATCTTATCTTCTTGGTTCGCTCTGCACCCTGAAGGTGCAAAATGGGGTTGTTGACATCTTCAAGGAAGGGCAGTATAAATGCAGCATAGCAGGAGGGACAAGGTAGCTTTGCGTTGTCCTTCATACATCAGAGTTGCACTCCACGCCATAGCCACCTGCTCGACATAGTAGAGGAAGGGCTGGGAGATGGCTATAGTGGACCTTTTGACTGGCTAGCACTAAGGAGGAGATTCAGATATTGGTTCTGGTTCATTCTTTCATTGTTCTTATTATTCTTACTGTAAAAACGAAGTTCGGGTATAAAAGGAGGTGAAGATGATGAGAAGAAGGGGGATTAGCATTGGTCATTGCTGGTGTTCATCTTCCTCTTCTTCTTCCATTCTTATTGCATCTTTGCCATAAACTCGTTTCAGAAACATATAGCCGCAGGCTAGCGTCATCACTTCCGGTCAAAAACAGCGGCTAAACGGCCCACGTGAGTTGGTTGACTCTTGGAAAATCAAGAGTCAGCCCCATTAAGGCAGGGGAAAGTCAAAGTCAACCGAGTAGTCAGCCTCGGTCATAGATCAGATGCACATCGATGGTTGTCTGCAGGTATCAAGAAGATTCTAGTCCCGCCCGGGAAAAGGTACCACTGCTTTAAGGCAGCCTCGTGGCCATCAACATCTGGCAAATCTAAAACGTCGACATGGTCCAAGGGGAGACTCGATGTTGATTAACACTACATAAGGTCAGCCAGACCACCGGGGAAGGCATTCCGCCTTCACTGGCTCAATGCTGGTGCTGCTACGCGAGGCTGCTGGAGTGTGACGCCGGTGCCAGATACTGCTGGAGGGTCCCAGCTTAGAGGGAGATTATGATGATACCATAGCCGCCATAACCATAGACTAGCTGATGGGAATTGGCAAGGAGGAGGAAGATCAGGGCTGTGAGACTGACGGGAGATGAGGTGAAGCTTACCCGGACTTACCTGACAGCAACACGTGTGATCTGCTGCTTGTCTCCATGAAGGTGAGGAAGTGCTGCTCCATCCTCCATATCTTATTACTGGCACGAATTCACGACAATCTATTACATGATTTGCCTGTAGGTGGTATCATTCGACTTATCTTTTTGCTGGAAATTTTCTCAGTTGTAGATAATGATTACATTCCAACATTACCAACAGACGAGCTCAACCGTATTTCAATATACTGTTTATGCTTCCAAAATACAAAGTTGAACAATCTGGAAACTTTAGGAAATCTACTTTATACCACTTATTTTTTGTTTGTTTCTGGTTTCAAAGGCCACCTCCTGGTTGTAAGTCGATCACTTCCTTTCCCACTAAGTTATTGCTTTAGGACCTTAGCAACCTTCAAGACACACCTTCAGCCCTCGCGTTCATCGGCACTGATTGATCAATGAATTCTGAACTTCCAACTCTAGGGCGTTTCTAGCATATAGCGAAGTGATTGAACTCTCATGTTGCCATGAGAGGGACCCATCTTGAGCCCACACAATAAATTGACAGTTGAGCAGCAGATTGTAGTGCTCCTATAAAAGCATAATTGGAATTACTACACCAACCTGCTGTTATAATACCATAGACAACGTAAAGATGAAATAGCAAATAGTTATTTGGCCTTCAATTGAAGGTAACTCTGTCTTATGAAACTGTTTGGAAAAGTAAAGCAAAAAAACAGAAGGGAGGATGGGCACCCTGTAATCATCTCCACAGTGATTATGTCAGAGGGCGTCAGAGGGAACATGCATTGCTGAGGTGGCGATAGGGGAGAAGCCTTGGGTCTATCGTCCTCCTCTTCTCTGTCTTTCCTCTCCTCTCTTTTCCTCTCTCTTTGATGAGACTATGCTTCTGAGTTGTGCATATAACTGCGACATGGACTTGTAATTGACTTCGAGACTTCATGCTGTGCGCTAAGTTCAGCCTTGTATTGCATTGACAACTAACTTCTCAACGAGACTGGGTTCATTACATCTTCCTTTGTCTATCTCTTTTTCCAAGTTCTTTCATTTCAGTTGCAATCAAGTCGCCTTGTCTGTCATTGTGTCATTTCACTACCAAGATAGCAAGGGTCATACCAATTGGTATTGATTAATCCTCCGAGGTCATTACGGCTAGTTAATCTCGGATTAGGGTTGTCTAGTAAAGGAAGTTGGCTGGCGAGGCAAGCGGGAGCTGCCCCCACCTGGATTAGGGAATGCAGGGTTGACATTGACCCTCCCCCACCTGGATTAGGGAATGCAGGGTTGACATTGACCCTGACCAGGTGGAACGAGTCAATGAATGGGGTGGCGAGACACTCAAGGTTACTAGTTGGGGTGATTTGAGGGAGAAGACAATAAGAGGTGACTCACACCTGGACCATAAGGCTGAGGATGAGCTTGGTGGTGAAGTAGCCATGGCTGCACCAAAGGACAGCAAGTTGCTGATTGGTCTTCAAAATAGACCCTCCTAGGATGCTAGGACACTAGAGTAGAGGTTGCTATTCAGAGGTGGGTGAGTTGGACTCCATATTAGGGGTCCAGGCCACACCGGTAAGTGTCGTGTAATTGGAGGATACCCATGGTGGAGTGCATGGCACTGCATGGCTTAATGGGTTGTGCCAGACTCCTTTTCCTACCCTGTGTGATCTTGGCTGATGTGCATGAGTTTGACTGCTCTCTCCCCTGACGAACGGATGGGAGTATCTTGATCAGCACTGCATATCTTTCTATAGTGCTTTCGTCTATTTATTATGAACTAGTAGCAGCTGAGTAGGGACAATCTGAACCTGTCTTTCCTTTCAGTACTGCGTGGATAGTTCTGGGACACAAGGTGTGACACTTCTTTGCTGGTTGGGTTACCGGCCTGCCTGGGACCTTGAGTACCAGCAGGATCCTACTCCAGCGGAAAAGAGACCCTTTACTACGAAGCCTAATGCCACTACAGGCAGTTCTCTATCTTGCTGGAAGAAGGGGGACACCTTACGATGGGACACACTTTCAAGTGGATGTTGACTGTGTTTTTCTGCAAACTCTATTCCATTTGTGAATCACAAAAAGGACACTAGTCAAGGCAACTTCGTTGCAAGTTCGAAAACAAAATACAAAACCATAAAGACTCAAGATCCAACACCATAATAAGAGACTACCTTCATTTATTTTTGTTGTTTGATTGCTGTCGTTCTCCAGTCCAAATGAATTGCAGCTCAGACTAGGAGTTCTATCCTTCCTTCCTTGAGCTTTGTGTTTCTTCATTTGAATTATCTCAGTGCCCGTTGTGCCTCTATCACAATAGAGAGAGAGAGAGAAAGAAGGGCAGAAGAGAGTGCTACTTTTGAGAGAGTGAGGAAGAGGAAGAGTGTTCGTCGAAAAGGTAGAGAAAGAGAGAACCCCTCTTGAGAAACCTACT